CAGCCTGGGGCTCCTCTCTGGGGCCAAAATGTGCTCTGCTGGGGGGGGGCTGCCCAAACGCAGCCCCCAGGCCCCTCTGCAGTGAGCCCAGCCCTGCTGGAGCCCCATGGCCACCTCCTGTGGAGCTCCTGAGCCTGGGGTGCAAAAATTGCTCTTTCTCCCCCCATCCCAAAACACGCTCCCCAGCACTCTCCCAGCCATGTCTCTTTACCCCCGCCCAGCTGCATGATTTTACTTTGCAATTATTTTTTCCCACCCCTGTACAACCACCAGGCGCCCCCAGAGACGTTGCCAACACCTGGTTAGCTTGCAAAAAACTGTAATTTTTTTAATTTTTTTATTTTTTTTTAGAATTCATTTAATCTATCATTTACAGTATTGTACAGCTCAGTGAAAATATGAAAATCATCCGGCGTGCTCCGAACCGGGCGCCGTCCCCGTTCCCGAAGCGGTTGACGTCTTGATCCCTAACCCGTTCCCACCCGGTGAAACCCGGGAGCGGATCCCTTTGGGGTACTAATTAAGAACGACATAACGAGCGATCTCTAAGTGAAACACATGCCAGCGGGACACTAAAGCTACGGGGCGAGGGGTGGGGGGCGGAAAGCCCCTCGGGCTCCCCCCCATCACTGCCCCTTCTTGTAGGCGCTTTTGATGATGGCGTTCTTGAAGAGAGTCACTAGGGGGGTCTGGCTGTGCTCCGAGGTCATGAAGCCCCCGTAGCGCTTGTCCTTCAAGGGCGCGTGCCAGCGGAAATGGCGCATGCGGTAGGAGCTGCCAGCCTTCTTCTCCTCCTCTTCCTCCTGGTCTTCCTCCTCCTCCTCCTCCTCGGGCGGTGCCCCGGTGCCGCTGAGCGCCAGCTCCCGCCTGAACTCCAGCGGGTAGCTCTCAGCGGACTCCTCCTCCACCCCATTGGGGTAGACCTTGATGGGTCTCCTCTTGCGCCCCACTGGCTTCCCCCAGCGAAAGTGCTCCATGGAGTAGGAGCGTTTGCCTTCCTCCCGTTCCAGCCCTTGC